GCCTGCTTCCTTTCCCTGAACAGCTAGGAGAGCGCTGTTCTGTGGTTTTGTTCACACCGATTATTCTGTACATTTATCGATTTGAGAAAAAAACTTTTTTTCCAAACCTTTTTTTTATTAAGTGGTAAATGCACAAAATATACATGCCAGTCAGATTCTTTTTATGTTTTCAAGAATATTTATATGTGTGTGTGTAGTAGGTGCAGTGAGAGTATTTGATTAGTAAATGCAGTGTGTGTGTGTGTGTAGTGGATGCAATGTGTTTGTGTGTAAATATGTGCGGTAGGAATCCCCCCACATGCCCCTTAATGTTCCTCTCCCTTATTTTTTAGTGCCCCCTTACCCCAGTGTTCCCTTTCCCATCCCTGTGCCCTCCCTTAATGTTCCTCTCTCTCCCCACTTAGCAGGGACGTTTTAGCCGCGAGGCAAACAAGGCATTTGCCTTGGGTGCCATTTTCCAGGGGGCAGCAAAAAACGCCGCCCCCAAATGCCCAGGGCAAATGTCTTGTTAGCCTTGCGGCCAACTGACATGCCGGTCCGGCGGGCGGCTGGCAAGGGAGCACTTCCTCTGAGCTGTCTGCTCAGCTCCCTCATGCGCCGCAGAGTGAGGCCGCGAGCCGGAATATGACGTCATATTCTGGCTCCCAGCGTCACTCTGTGGCACGAGGGAGCTGAGCAGACAGCTCAGAGGAAGTGCTCCCTCGCCAGCTGCCCGCCCGCCCAGCAGCCACTGGACCCCCAGGGAGAAAGAGAACCCCCCCCCAGCATTCCCAAAGGTAAGGAGGCTGGGGGGGGTTGGGTTAAATAAAAAAAATGTGTTAATGTGAGTGAGTGTGTGTATGTCTGTCAGTGTGTGTGTATGTCTGACTGTGTGTGTCTGTTAGTGTGTGTGTTTGCCTGTTAGTGTGTGTCTGTTAGTGAGAGTGTGTGTTTCTGTTAGCGAGTGTGTGTTTCTGTTAGCTAGTGTATGCGTACCTGTCATTGAATGTGTGTGTGTATTTAGAAGGCGGGGCAGGGGAAGTGTTGGGTGGGAGTTGCGCGGGGGGGGAGGGGCACCTGAGTTTTGTCCTGCCTAGGGCAGCACAAAACCAGGATACACCACTGCCTCTTAGTGTTCTTCCCCCCTAGTGTTCTGGCCGTTCTAAGGCCCGGTAATACGCCTTAGGGTTTTCTTTATTATTTTTACTTAAGTGCTGCGTGCTGGGCATATTAGTGTATCCTGACATGAAGTATAAATTCAGCATTACCACTTAGCTAGTTTTGGTTTTACTATTTATGTAGTGTCTTTGTAGTGATTTTCAGACACTGGGGGTTGTTGCTACTGTATTATATTATTCAGCACCAATCCACCTGTATTTTATTATATTTTCAGGTGAAATATTTTCTCTCTTATTACCACTTGGCTAGTTAGTGTGAAGTATCTGGGTGTCAGATGGCATGTGTGCCCATAAACTCTTGACAATCTTATCATTGTACCGAGCTGTTTTCAATAACACTTTATTTTTGGAGGTACATCTTTGAACCTCTGGGAAAGTAAGTAAATTATATATAATTTATTAATTTCTGTAAATCTTGACACACAAATGATATATCCTAACCACACATTACGCATGCCAAAGTGGCAACTTACCTATAAATAGTCATATACAGTGATCTTTCTCCTTAGCAATAATGAGTACAATTATATCTTCCATGTTCTTATATATGGACATTTGAGACTAGAATTTGACCAATTTTACTGCCTCTATAAAGTGCTTGAAAAGTGAAGATCTAGGTAGCATCCATAATGCTCATTAAAATTAAATTGGGATATTTTATGGGCTCCAATAATCTTTCATTCCTTCATAGATGTGACCTAGTATTTATCAGGGCAAAGCAAAGTTAGAGCAATTGTGGAACAAACCCATTGCTCCATATTAATATATTATATGGTCTTATAAGTGAAATGTCTTTTCTCTATTTTTCATTTTTCATTTACATTTTTAAACTTTGCACCCCAAAAATGTTTAAAGTTTATTTATTTTTCTATTTTATATACGGTAAGTTCCAAAATGACTTTTCATGTAATCTGATGAAATAGACTAATTTAGTTTAATTTCTGTTCTGACTTCTGTTTCCCAAAGACAGTCTTTTGAAGGCTTAGAAGGTATCTGTTTGATTGCAGTATAAGTCTGTTCAAGAGTCTAGGACGCATCTGCTGAAAATGTTCGCTATTAAATCCTGTCGGAAAAGGAAAATTGTTCAGCCCACTTTACCGTGGGTCAAATAGCCTGTTTAGATAATACCGAATTACATGTTGCTGAGTACACAGATTGGCGCCAAATGCCAATCAGACTATATCTAGGGTCGTATAGTTTACTTCTAGTTTAGTACATTTGGTAGAAATAATAATAATAATAATAATAATATAACTTCAAACATTTGATCAGAATTCCTTGGATAGAATAAAGCATTCTCAGCCTGAAACATATTTGCATTATTTAATATTAAAGAACATAGGTATTTAAAACTAATAATTGTAATAACAGGGGATTTTATTATATGGACTGGCTGTTCAATTGTTCATGGACCTATCTGTATGTGGTGCTCGAAATTAGACTGGCAGGAATTGTAGTGGTTATGGTGTATTCGCTGTTGCAATGTTTCAGATGATTCTTGGGTTGGCTGAGAATGTCTGTCTGGGGACCCATTCAGCCAACAAATACAAGAGTTGATTAGCTGATCCTTGTCTTCTCTCCTGTAAGAACACGCTTAAAGGAACACTCCAACTACCATGACTGCTGCAACCGGCTGCAGTGCTCATCATAACAGTAGTGCCCTGGCTGTCGTCCTAATGTAAGTAGGTAAAACTACTATTCCTGCGGGCAGAAGGTCTCTTCAATTACCGAAGTTCGACAGTGCAGTGCATAGCTCGTTGCCTGCAAGTGATCAGCTGATGCCTTTAGCCAATGAGGTGGCTTAAGTCAGGAGCACTAATGGAAGCTCCGAGCATCTCTCATCACAGGATGTAGAGTCAGGGAGAAACGTCTGGAGAATCCATGGTAAAAAGTCAAACTATTATCAATCAGTTTTACTACTTGGATTAGAGGGTGCCAGGGCACTCCTCACACCATAACAGTTACATGCATTGTAGTGGTTATGGTGCTGCATTGTTCCATTTAAAAAATGTATTTTCAGTAAATTTATCTCAATTCTCCAGAAAACTTGTGGTGGAATAAATATAGAATTGACACTTGTAAAAAAAATTACATCTTTGACCATGGGGCTATAATAGACATTATTCTATGTTTTTCATTTCAACAATAAGCATATACACAGCATTCATGATTTTTGCTATTATTAAGAATGCAAAAAGGGTATGTGTCTCTCTTAGTCAGGAGGGGAGTTAGTTTGTCTCTAATGACAAGGGTGAATATTACCAATAATAGAGAAGAGGTCTAGGTACTCCGATAGCTTGACAAAGACCCAGTTCTGGGTCGAAACGTTGCAATGTTCCCTGGATTCTAATAAATGTGCCTAAAGCTATCGGAGTGCCTGGACCTTTTCTCTGTTATTGGTATTGCTTTTATCGGGCTGGTGCTGGCCCATGGTCTAGTTTAGCTCCTTTTGGCTTTTGTGGATGGAGTGCAGTTCCTATCTGGATATTGTGCAGGGTGAATATTGGAAAAAAAAACATCTGGGTGGTTTAACATATACCTAGACTGCCAAGAAGTTTGTCTCTGGAAGCAGATCTGGCCAAATGTCCTCTCCGGTTATCCCAAAATACGAGAGAGAAGCTTTACTGTCAGTTATCCTACACAAATATAGGCACCAGGACCACAACGGAATGAGTTATATAAATATCAGTAAATTTAAATGACCGTATAGGCACCCAGGTCCCTTAATCTCAATGAAGTGGTCTGGATGCAGTGATCCTTTCCTTTTAACCATTACGATGTAAAACAACGCCATTTTGTAGAAACAGCTATGTCTACATTGTAGGGTTAAACACCTCTGTAGTGACTGTCTTCCTGTTTCACTTCCTGTGACATCCATGAGAATGGCGAACGTCAACAAATGCAACTCATAGGGAAGCAATGGATTGGACCAGAGCCCACTTAGCACGCACGCACATCTTGTCCCTATTCTTCTATGAGAAGCACATATTTTCATTATTTTTTTTTATTTTTATTTTTAGAATTGACCATTTTTTTTATTTTGATAAAAATAGACAATGGAAGGGGTACAGAAAAAAGAAAAGGGGGAAGGGTAGGGGGAATGGGATAGCAATGCGTTTTGTTTAACAATTTCTAGACATTGTCATGTGGGAAAAACAGCTTAAATCAATTCCTTGAGCATGGCTTGCATAAACACATTGAAGTCTTTTCCAGATTGGAGTTACATTGTCTCCCATGTAGTTAAACACAGTGTAACAGACATACAGTAACATGAACTTATTTACAACGGATGGCAATAACTATGATTGTTGCTGATGTGAGCACCTGTTGCTCAGGGGGCTTCACTCTGGGGACGTGGACTCGGTAGCCGGGTACACTTCTGTTGGCTGTGCAGTGTGTGGGGTATGTGGGGTGGGCTGTCCCCGGTCATGGGGAGGTTGAAGTCTGTATCTCTGCCACATTTCATACATGCGTGTATTTGAGTTCCCTGTGCTCATGTGGAATGTTGCAAATCGTTCGTACGCTACATTTGTGGTAATCAGGTCTATCAGCTCTTCCCCCTTTGGGGTCGAGTCAGACCTCCAGTATCTGGAGATTAATGTTTGCGCTGCTATCACAATTAGAAATATTAGTTTTCGGGAGTGTTTCAGAAAGTAAAGTGGAGCTATGTGCAGTAAGTAGGCCTCCGCCGTCAAGGGCACCTGAGACTTTGTGCTGTGGTTGACCATCTCCCCTACCATTTTCCAGTAAGGTTGGATAAGTGGGCAAGTCCACCATATGTGAAATGTGTCTCCGGGAACTCCCTGGCATCTCCAGCATTTGTTACTAGTGAAGTGATACATTTTAGAAAGCTTGTTTGGTGTCAAGTACCATCTGTACAGTATTTTCCTCGATGTCTCGAGGTGTGAGGCGCATAACGAGGACCCCTTCCTGTGGGGACAATTCTCTCCCCAGATCTTTATGCCATTCTTTCTGGTAGCCCCAGACCTTAGTTTGAGATTCGTCGATGATTGCATTGTAGCAAAACGAGAGGGATCTTTTCTGTTGTTGTTGGCTAATACATTTGCATTCAAATCTTGTCATTAATCCTGTCAGTTCGCCCCCTACCGTGTGTGTACGAGCATCTGTGATCGTGTGTGACATTTGCAGGTATGAGAAGTGGGCATGCTGCGGAATCTTGAGCCGATCTCTCAAATCTGTGAACGTCCTGAGTGCGCCCAGGTGCGTGAGCTGGTGTAGGTGGGTAATCTTGTGTTTGCTAAATTTAGATAAGGTCGTCTGTAGGGATTTAAGGACCTTGGAGGGAACACTAATTTGTAGAGTGCAGAATAGGTACAAAATGATCCTTCCCATTTCCGTAAAGTGTTTGCTATTTGAGAGTGGAGTGCTTGGTAGTTCGTGTTGAAAAGGGCTCTATGTGTACTCGTCAATTTAATCCCCCAAAATTTCATGTGGTCTTGTCTCCAGTCAAAGTTGAACGACGCCTTCAGCGTCTCCAAGATGTCCTTACCCAGGCCTATTCCCTTCCCTTGTGTCTTTGTAGTGTTGAGTTTATAATATGCCTGTGCGCTGTAGTTTTGTAGTTCTTTTTGGAGGTTGGGGAGGGAAATGTTTGGTTGGGATAGAGTCAGTAACACATCGTCTGCAAATAGGTTTATTTTGTATTCTCGGTCTTTTATTGTTATACCATGTATGTTGGGGTTGCGTCTAATAGCTTCTGCAAGCGGTTCTAAAGCTAGTACATATAGAAGCGGCGACAGGGTTCTGCCCTGCCTGGTGCCGTTTGTAATGGCAAACGGGTCGGAGAGAAAACTTGAGGAGGAGACTGTTGCGTTGGGGGTGCTATACAGGGCTTTACCTGCCGTTAAGTACGTTTGTGGGAAATCAATTTTTTAAGGACAGCGTCTAGAAAAAGCCAGTTCAGTCAATCAAAGGCTTTCTCCGTGTCTAAGGAGACTAGGAGGCCTTGTTTCCTGTCCATGTGTAGTGCTTGCAATATGTCTACTACTTTTCGGGTGTTGTCCGAGCCTTTTCTACCCTGGACAAACCCCACTTGATCATCCGAGATAATTGTCGGGAGGATGCATTAAAGACGTGTGGCTAAAATCTTTGCATATAGTTTAGTGTCCGCGTTCAAAAGGGAAATTGGGCGGAAATTTTGGCAAAGCGTTGGTGCCTTACCCTCTTTTGGGAGGGTTATCACCCTGGCCGCCAAAAATTCTGAAGGGAAGGTACCCGTCTGTAGAGCATGATTAAAGGTAGAAGTAAGGTGTGGGGAAAGGAGGTGCTTAAATTTCGCGTAGTATTGATTTGTGTAACCGTCTGGACCCGGGGCCTTCCCCGGAGGAAGGGAGTCTATGCAGTCCATTATTTCAGTCTCTGTGATAGGGGATGCCAGGCTGTGTTTTTGGGGTTCTGTTAAGGTTGGCAAGGGAATCTCTGACAAGTACGATTGAATGGACGTGGCCGAGGGATCTGGGGTGTCAGGGTCGTCCGTGAGGTTGTATAGTTGGCTGTAGTAACGTGCGAATTCTCTGCAGATTCCCGCGGGGAGGTGTATTTTGTGACCTTCCTTACTCAGTATGTATGCTATACGTGATTGTTGTTGTTTGTCCTTCAGTCTGTGGGCTAGGAGTTTGCTCGCCTTATTCCCCTGTGTGTAAGCATGTGTTTTCAGTCTATTGAGCATAAATCCAAACTTGTGTAATCTAACCTCTTTAAGCTTTTCTTGCAGGGCAGCTATTTGTTGCTTATGTACACTCATTGGGTGTATTTGGTTTTCCTTGTGTAGTTGTTCAAGACTCTGTGTGATGTGCGTAATTTCTTTGTTTCTTAATGTATGACGCTCTGCTTATTAGAGTGCCCCTGATCACTGCCTTGTGGGCAAGCCAGAGCATGTGCGGGTCTTGCGCAGAGGTGGAGTTCGTACGGAAATAATGTCGCAGCTCCTTTTCCAACCTCGTGCAGAACTCTGTGTCTCTAACCAGACTCTCGTTAAGGCGCCAGGGACTCCTGTGTTTAAAGTCATATGTGCATGCAAGAGTCGTTATTACTGGGGCATGGTCTGACCAATCCAAGGTTATGTCACACCCTAGCACTTGGGTCATGGAGGAATTGTGCATAAGACAGCCATCTATTTGTGAGTACGTATTGTGTACCTTGGAGTGGTGCGTGTAGGTTTTTTCGGACGGGTGGAGAGCTCTCCACACATCTCGAAGTCCATAGTTGGCCAACACCGTTCTGATGGCCTTGCTTTGTTTTTTGAGGGAGCTATAGTGACGGGAAGAGGGGGGCCTGGTGGAGTCCACGGAGGGATCCAGAACGTGATTCAGGTCTCCACTGACTACTAGGGTGCCTTTTCTTAGTCTATCTGCTTTGGTTAGAACTCTATGGAGGAAGTTCCTCTGGTTGGCATTTGGAGAGTATATGTTAACCAATGTGTAGTCCAGGTCATTTATAGTGCATTGCCAGATTATGTATCGTCCTACTGTTTGACTTCACTATCAGGTCCTTACTGAGGAGAATGGATACCCGTTTAGATTTTTGTGGTGTCGTGGCGTGAAGTTGGTGAGGGTACGCCCGACTTCCTATTGGTGGGTGGGTACCGGTTCTGAAGTGGGTTTCTTGTAGGAGTACAACATCTGCCTGCGTCTTTCTGAGTTCCCTCTCTAGGGTATGGCGTTTAAAGGGTATATTTAGGCCCTGAACATTATGGGAGTATAGTTTTAGACTGAATGTTGAGGGTGGCTATCGCTGGTGTCCCCTGTGTTGTAGGTTGTGAGTGGCCCGGGAGGGGCCCCAGAGGTCTCGGCGCCCTCCGCCCTATCAGCGCCTCCATTCCGGGGCTCAGAGTTCCCGTCTGAGTATTTTAATGTGCCGGGGCCCTTGTTCAGGCGAATAAACATACTAACATGTGTGATCTTAGACATTGCCAAAGTAAACAAACACAGAACATATATACAAAAACATAAAAATAACATTGTCCCCCGCATTATGAGCAAAGGGAAGTGGTGAACAAATTTTTCCCTGCTAGTTTATCCCACTAGCTATGTCCTTCCTGGGGGAGTAAGGATCCTGGTCCGAGTCCCGGACACCCAGTTGGCCGAGGACCCCGTGCCTCCGGCTTTTATGTTTGATTCCTGGTATGAAGAAGCATGTTTAAGTCGATGAAACCTCTGCGTTAGACTCTTTACTATTATAGATATATATATAATTTATTTTTTTCCTTTTAATTTATTTTAGTTATTTATTTATTTAAATTTTTATTTTTTATATATATATATATATATATATATTTATATATATTTTTTTGTTTGTTTTTGTTTTTTTGTTATTTATTTAGTTTTAATGGTCCCTCTCTTATGGGTCTTCAACCTACCCTCGGGCCGCATCGCTGCCTGGAAGGGGCAACTCCTATGTTCTATGGGTATGAGTTCGTACCCTGGGGGGGGGGGGAGAGCATATGGCAGTAGCATACTCTGGGTGGGAGATGTGTCTGGATGGGGACTACTCAACCCCCCAAGGAGGCCGTGCCCTCCCACCTATTTCTTGGACAACTGGTTTCCCAGCTTACCTCCCTTTATCACCCCCCGATTCTTTTTATGTATAGTTTTCAATAATGTTTTTTTTTTGTTTTGTTTTTTTCTACTCTTTACTGTATGTGCCCCCCCACTCGAGTTTAGGCCTACCCACAGCACATAACCATTACAGAAGCATATATATTACCCACAGTCAGGTGATATCCATGGAACATTTTTACCCTTGAGTCCATAGGGTCTCTAGTACTTGCATTGTCTTTGTGGTTACTTGAGAGTTCGCAACGTTTGTCTGGCCGACTGGCAGTTCTGTTACTTGGCCGTGTGAGCTCGCCCTGCTTTAGCGTTCTTGGCTGACTTCCATCCCGGCTGGATCTCCACTGGACGGTTAGGTGTAGCACCTGTTGTGGGTGTCTCAATGCCCCAGCTTCGCAGCAAGCGGGTACCTGCGGCAACGTCCATAGCTCTATGCGTCCTGCCATCCTTTGAAATAAGCAGTTTTATTGGGAATCCCCATCTATACGGGATGCTCCTGTTTCTTAATTCTGAGGTGATATCTTTGAATACTCGCCTCCGCCTCAGCGTTTCTGCAGAGAGATCCACGTAAACTTGTATGGGCCGGAATTGTTCCTGTAGGTCTTGTTGTGGGCGCTTGGAGCGAAGGATGGCCTCTTTCACGTGGAAATAGTGTACCTTGGTGAGTACATCTCATGCGGTGGCTGCGGGAAGGTGTTGTGGTTTCGCCACCCTGTGTGCCCTGTCCAGCAGTAGCATATTGGGAGGGATGTCTGGTGCCAGGGCTTGAAATAGGCCTGTTAGAAAGGCCACGAGTTCGGCTGTTGGAACCTCTTCAGGTATCCCTCTGACCCTTAAGTTTTGGCGCCAGGATCTGTCTTCCAGGTCCATTCATTTGATTTCTTGTTTTTCCAACCGCACCTCCATGTCTTATAGCCGTTGCACCATGCTGTTATGTGCTGCTGCGTAGTCGGCCATTTCATTTTCAATGTGGGATGTGCGGTTGCCGAGGTCCATGATGTCTTGTCTGAGCTCGGCTATAGCTGAGTGTACCGTGGCTTGTATTTTTGTAGCCACTTCGTCAAGCATTTTTTGGAAGTGCTCTCCCTGAATTTGGAGAGTATCTTGTGGGGAGTGTGGTCTCGAAAGGTCCCTGTCGTCTTCGCTTCCATCGCCATCTTGTTGCGACTGGGCCGGCGTTTTCTGGCCCCTCGGTTTTGCGGCGAAAAAGGAGTGTTTCTCCTTGGCATCCGCCGTTTTCCGAGATCCTCTCTGTGCCATGAGGGAAACCCTGGCTTTTTGGGTGGTTTCGTGCTGGGTATTAGCTGTGTACCCATGCTGTATTAGCCGATAGCTGGGGAGCTCCGTCTCTACGCGTCCATGCAGCTCGAGCGCAGGCTCCGCCCCCCATATTTTCATTATTTTAATATAAAAGTTTGGACAATCACTGAGGGAGCAGCGGATGGCAGCTCAGTGTGAGCCTTTGTGCTTGAAAAAAGGTAAGTCAAATCTATTTTTATTTTAGTTCTATATTAATTTTTACAAGTTAAAGGACCACTCTAGGCACCCAGACCACTTCAGCTTAATGAAGTGGTCTGGGTGCCAGGTCCTTCTAGGGTTAACCCATTTTTTCATAATTATAGCAGTTTCAGAGAAACTGCTATAATTATGAATGGGTTAAGCCTTCCCCCTAATCCTCTAGTGGCTGTCTCATTGACAGCCACTAGAGGCGCTTGCGTGCTTCTCACTGTGATTTTCACAGTGAGGCATAGCGTCCATAAAGCGTGTAAATGCTTTCCTATC